AATAAATGGATACACTTAAGTGTATAGTTACAATCTTTTTTTAATTAATACATCGGAGACTGTTCGACAAATATGTATGTTGCTTATCAACGTTGCTATATTTACACCGTTTCCGGGAGTAAGAATAATTTTATTACATAAAAATAAACCAACGGTTTGATAAATCAAAGCAATTATGTTAACTGCTTAATTAAAAACGCATCGAGTCGTGCAACCGCTTTTTAATTAATAGAAACCGTTATTTACATGAGATATTGGTCAATACTAAACAATAGATTTGTTTTACGTAACATTTTCTATACTTACAATTAGTTTAATTTTAATCAATATGAATTATCAATGGATACTTTTACAAGAATGAAATTGTGTTGCAATTTCTTACTGGCTTAAGCGATCTGACCTAAAAGTTTTTTTGTTGGATTTCATTATCTCATGGTCACCAAATGGCCACGTATACAATTTAATTGTTTATTGCAAATTCCGTTTAATTTGTGCATTTGTTTGGCATTATATACGAGGCCTGTTCAAAAACAACACACTAATAATGCCGCAGCCACCGTATTCCCCAGATTTGGCCGCTGTGGCTTTTATGGACGGCATCTAAGGAGGAGCTGAACAAGATCACAAGAAATGCGCTTTGAGTGTTGTTGACACAAGTGTATAAAATCTGGTGGGGATTACTTTGAAGGGGACAAAATAGATATTTATGAATAAATAAATAATTTTTGAAAAAACACAAAATTAGCCATACTTTTTGAACAAACCTCGTACAGGGCTGTTCACGAAAACTATGAAGGATTATAGTGCTGCTAGTCTTGATTTATTCCAATTAATTTTAACAAACGAAAATAATTATAACGATGATTGTTAAAATAAACGCGGGTTCTCCACTTTCTTTAAAATTTGTAAGTATTACAGTTGAAATGTGTTATAATAAGTACTGATTTTGTGATGTTATGGAGGTTTTAAGCAGATAATGTTGCAAAACAAGGTTCGTTATTGCGTTGTCGTCTCTGATATTGTTAAATATGTAAATACCTTGAAAAAACCCACAACCGGTTAGGCGAAACGTTAGTAATTAAATGTAAAATAAAAAGGGCAGGGCAAGGGACAGACAGAGACTAGCGGCGTCGTCGGAAAACATATACGACGTTACAATTTTCAATTAACGGCAATGGACCAGTGGTATCGATGGTCGCCTGTCATGCAAACGTTCACGGCCTCTATACTCAGGCGATACTATAACTTTTTTCTTAATTTATGTATATTAACCTTTTACTAATTTCTTTTTAAATATTAAATGTATTAACCAAAGAATGTTTTGTTTTGTAATAAGGTTAACACTTGCGAAGTGTCGTGACATAATCAAATTCTTGTGCTTATACTGTTCTTGTTTATTGTGTTGTTGATGTCATAACTCCATGCACCCTTTTCGAATATATTAATTGTTCTCTCTAATTGAAATAATGATAAATTGCAGGAACGACACGAACTTTCTATCAAAATTTAGATTAAATTGCGAGAGGTCGATTAAAGAACACAAATTGAATTAAAATAACATAAAGAGAAATGCCAATTTATTCAACAGTCTCTTACTTTCCGTTCATTTAACTTATTTGAAGCGATTACTTTAATTGAATAGATTTAATTGCGAAGAAATTTAATTTTTTGGGTCGTCAGTTTAACAGATCTATAAATGTAGGCACACGGTGTCGCGTTAATTGTTAAATACAAATTGCATATGAGTGAAAAGAGCAAATAAAAATATAAAAATATCTCATATCATATATTTAAATGGACTTTGTTGGAGCATACGTAATCCTAAAATGTAGCATCGTACTACAGATGGCGTTTACCGCGCCATTTGTAGTATTTAAAACGCACTGTTAAGACAGCAGGTAAACGCTGGTCTGTGTTCTGTCGGAGCTGTCTTGCGACGCGCTGATGAGATCCAAAAAGATCGAAATCGCGATCCGCGTCTGGCAGTTTCGACAGAATACAGACCACTTCGAATTATTTTATTTGCTAATAAAATGATTTTGTTGTTTTATTAAACTTTAAATTAAATTTTATTATTATCTTGTTGGATATCAACTTTTCATTTACCCGTATAGATCCCAAAATCTTGAAATTTGAAAATCGGCAGCTTTTATAATTGCTTGAACCATTATTATTGTGAATGTGGACCTTTATTGTTCGGTTTGGCTATTAGCAGTATGTTTTTTTTTAAGGTGATATCTATTTAATTAGTTGTACCAGTTATTAAACAGGTTCTACTTGGCCCCGGGTGATGTTCTGCTTTGAATATCATTGAGTAGGTTTCTGTATTACGGCATTATTATTAAGTAGCTCTTTCTAGATGCTCAAGAGGATCAAGTAGATATATGACATCATATATTTTTATCGCAAGAACACACATTTCCAGTTGGCCTAGGCCCCTAAATCATTTTATATTAAACGAAAGAATGAAAACCTAGAAGATAAAAACACCTTTCGTTTGTACTTGTTTTCTGTTTTTTGCGACAGTTGATAAATATCTAAGGGAATAAAAGTTGTTATTTAATTTAAAAACAAATAAGTAACTAACTGTAATAGTCAAATAATTATTTTGAATTTGTTTTATCATTACTAAAATTCAAAGAATATTCCATTTTCGTTCAGCGTCAATGTTTTCAGAATATAAATATAGATGCGTACTGCGACTGTCAGATTTGTTAGGTTAAGAATGCGCGTTAGGTCATGTGCAGTATCTATTCTACTAGTCGACTTAAAAATATTACGCATTTCACAGAAGTATATATTGCTATTATACAGCGCGACGCTCTTAATTTCTGCTTTTCATTTTTTAAAGCTTATTGTGTTTCCTTATATTAATGTATCAAAAATTGTTGCTTAAGTACCATGATTATTCCTTTTCAAAACTTTTATTGTAAGAATTTGCGAGCAAAGTTTTACAGTTTATTTAAACACCGTAACATTATTGTTTGCTTAATGGCCGAGACGAATTTCGTAGAAAAACAAAAACAGTTGCGAAAAAGGCAATTTAGTAAACTATAATTGATTATGTTCTACATTGTTTTTAAAAATATATATGCGATGACGAATTGCCGACTCTTTTCTTTGTGAAAGGTGATGAAGTCATCTTTATCAGACAATACATTTTTCTTTATTTGCTGTCTATTAAAGGTTGTTAAATTATAAACAAATTAAAATGTATGTATGCAACAGGTATACATAATGCTGTTAGAAATTTTAGACTATTCGTACGTATTAAGGGATAGTGTCATTAAAACATTGTCAGTTATTTCATTATTGCATTTTATTAATATCTTCATTAGCCATACAAAGTCTAATGCCATAAATTACTAGGTATACGTATTCAAACACGTGCATACCCAGCCGGACAAATAAATAATTTAATTGCCTGTAGAAACATTTGCTTAAAATTGCTATCACAACCACCACTAATAATTATTAGATAAAACTGCCACAAATGTAGCACTCCTGTAAAGATTTCTTATTTAGTACATCAGAGTAGAATAGGATCTGTTTTTCATAAAAATAATATCCTAATTGAACAGGATCATGGGTATTGGATCAAAGAAGATGCAATTAACTTTATGTTTATATTTATAATTTTGAAATTCAGTTAGATAAGTTGAGGTTAGTATTATTTACATGTATGTGTTACTAATTAACGTGTATACATTATTTAAGGAATTGTTTTCCATAGCTTGATAATGTCTCAAGAAATAGAGACGAAAAGTCGCGATTCAACAATGGTTTAATTTTTAAAATTTGTTTTCCTAATACCCAGGACCCTGTTCAATTATTGTATAAGGAAAGTGATTTTATCATGATAATATTTTAATCTTTGTTTGTTTGACGGGCTAATCAAGTTTGGAATCCCCTAAAACGTCACGATGCAGGCTCAAAGGGTATATTCCAAAAAATATTATATTGACCAAGTTTATGTCTAAATGCATTCATAGGTATTATGACCGGGTCCAACAAGTTTACAGAAGACTTTTGTGAAAGGCAACGATTTAGGTCTATTTTAAGTAGTGCTACATTGGTTTTTGGTATATCTACATTGAGGAGTTGATGAGTCAGGGTTCTTAATCGGATTTTGTTATGTTGAGATAATAAGTTACTTTCATTACTCTGTCGGCATCTAAATTACTCTACCGTGATGCCATTAGATACATTTATATCTTTTACTGTTATTTCCACATTGATTCTTTGCAGACGAAACTATTTTTGATCATTACTCTAATGAGCTGTACCAAATTAAATTTTATTTATCTTTTAAGTTATAATTAACCTTAACGAAGTTTTGTCGGCACATAAACTACTTTGTGATTGCTATAGTTTTAGTTAAATTGTAGCGATTATAAATATTCCCTAAAATGTTACAACATCTTAACTTATATTAGGCATAAAGAGTCACCAACGTATACCTAACCGTAATGAAAATTTACTGTAAAAAGTAATGAAAGCAATTTGAAACTATGAAGGGGTGCTACGCTTTGTTCAAATGATTTTGAGAATTCGGCTGGTTTAGAACTGTTCTCAGATAAACAGAGGGGAGAGAAAGAGATAGAGAGATAGAGGAGAGAGATTTCAGAAAAGAGATATATTTTCAGAAAGACGTGGTCAAAAATAAAAATAAATGCTGACAGAAGTTACTTTTGTTTCAAGATAACTATTCACAAAATTTAAACAGAAAATAACTTAAAAATTTTAAGACCAAATAACTACAAAACCCAATAAAATGATCTGTTATTGCAATAAGCAATTTAAAAACATAGAACGATCTTGCAATACAGTATAATAAAGGCATTCTTGAGGAGAGACGCCCTATAGATATACCTTCAGGAATAAATTGATTAGATTACATGAGGCACCATTTTCTAATACTTGTGCACAGTTTAGTCCAGTTGGTACATGTTTTGGTGGTTGTTTCCGCTGTTGCTCATGTTCGACGTCTTTTGTTTCAGGTGCCGAAAGTGTCTTGAAGAAGTTCCGCAAGACGTTTTCTCTCCGTTTCCAGAAAAAGGGAAGTAAAGATAATTGCAGTTCGGAACATGGATCGGAGGTCCTTGGCGATCCTTCCGAAGAAGAATCACCGCAACATATTCCTCTTCATCCTTCAAGTTTCGAAGAAACAAAAGATGATAACTACGAACATAATAAACACAAGTATGTTATTAATAATATGAAGTTCGTACAGATAGTTTATGCTGTAAATTTACAAGAAATATATGGTAATATGTTGGGAAAACGGTTCAAAACCGAGCTTTGGTTCTATATTTTTCGATAAATTTTACTCCAAAGCTCCAAATGCAACCTTTGTACAACTAAGCTTAGGGTTGCGCATTAGGAACGTGTCCAAATCGTTCTCTATCAACTTTGTAAAGTTTGAGTTAAAAAATCGAATAGGTTTAGTACTTAGACTTAGTCCGAAGTCCATGATAAAGTTACATTTCGAGCTTTGGCGCTAATCAAACGTTCAATCCCAGATTCGGTCGAATAATACGAACTATGACCATACATAGACTGAAGGGATGATATTTTTCCGTTAGTCAATGTTCTGTATTATGTATGAAGCACGCATGGACTTTTATATATCTAGTAAGATTTTGTTACATTGTTTTAGATTTGGTTCCTTGGTCTGGCGTTCCAGCAAAGACCGCAAAAAAACCAACAAGGCTGCAAGAAACGTCAAGTGCAACAGCGGAGACAGCGGCATTCAAATAGAGGTATGACTGTTTTTTCTATTTTACCAGCAAAACACATTGTTTCCTTGTACTGTAGATTAAATATCTTTAACATTCTATTAGACAGATTTTGTCACGTATTACATTTTGATTTTTAATGCCATTTTCGAGACTAAAACTATTCATCTGAAAAGACACCATAAGGATTACGGAACTATCCTAAGATATTCTCGAAAATTCGCAAAGTAGCATATCAACGTATTAAAATTTATGGTAATGGTTGATACCAAGCAGCATAGCCTAGTGCCTGGAAGTTTATACCATGTTTAGATCATTGCTTAGTATTCGGGGAGATATCAGTCCAATTCCGCGTCCTTTCGCTCTGATCCAAGATTTTCTGCAATTTCCTTGGATCACTGAGGCAAATATGAGAACAATAATATTCCACAGATAGTCTTTCACTCTCTTTTGTCTTCATTTCGTTCGTCTCATCATTCTCATCTCAAACACAACCCACCCATTCCCAACATTCCTGAAGGAATACTGAAGAGGGCCTTCCGCCTTGCCCTTCGGCGTAGTCTTCAGGGACTGCACAAAAAAAAAGAAACTTTTGGGTGTTTCATTCCCACCAGCCAGTAATGCTGGTGAGCGGGCAGTCCCTCCGGACTACGCCGGAAGGTAGGGCGGAAGGCCCTCTTCAGCCAGCTTTCAGGAATCGTGGGAATGGGTGGGTGGTGGTTCGGGTGAGAAAGTTGAGACGGAGGAAATGAAGACAGAAGAGAATGAAAGATTATCTGTGGAATATTACTGCCTCAGCATTTGCCTAAGTGATCCAAGGAAACCACAGAAAAACTTGGACCAAGGCAGACGGACCCGGAATCGAACCGGCGTCCTCCCGAATGCTAAGCAATGGTCTAGACCTCTAGGCCATGCCGCTCGGTTTGGACTACACACTGACCAGCATCAATAGCTGATTTGGATAAAACACCTAAAAAGTTTTTCTTATGGTCGAGATATTTCTGTTATCTTTCTATCGAAAATTTTTACTCCATTTAGATAATTATGCGTATGTATATGCAAGTGTAGACAACCAATTCTTTGTTTTATTTACTAATTAAATAAAAATTATTTATTAATTAGTATGGACGATGCGCGATAGATAATAAATATTCAAGTTATTGTTGTGTATAAATATAAATAGTTATCAGTGTTTAAACAATGATGTTCTAAATTTAAACTTGAGACCCAAGAATAGTCGATGTGTGGCTTTTTTGTTTAGGACATTGGCTTTTCATTGCTCAATAAAGTTTTCCAACGCGTTTACCCTTCAATTGAATATACATATGGAGCTAATAGCAGGCATTGTTGTTAGTTCCTTATCTCATATTACAATGGGAAAATAAGCTGACACGTATGCTGTGCAGCATACAAAATTATCTAGTAGTATATCGTATCGTCTGTTGTCAATACTTTTTGGACTGCCAATAATTTTACGTTTTTTAGGTACCTACTTTTATTTTTACAAAATAATTATGTTCCAACATTGTCCAATACCTAAAAAACATAAAATGTAAATCCTTAAAGGTTTAAAACATTTACTAATTCTATCATAAATTATTTGAGGTGTAGCGATTTAGTTCCTGAAATTTCGGTACAACAACAATTAATAAATTAAATCACAAACAACAACAATTTTTAGTAAAACCGGGTGAAAATCGTCTGAAATCCTTCGCGAATTAGAAAATATACATGTGGGGCAAAGAGATTAATTAAAATTTCCCCTTCTCTATATTCAGGCCATTATCTACCGTAAATATATTCCTTACGGCAGGACAATTTCATGCTGACGCCCTCGAAAACATATTTTAAGAGTAGGGCAGGCACTTGCATAGAAGGACAGGAGTGAAATGTTTGATCAAAAAAGTATCTCCATGTTACCACATCCCCTCTACTATCCGGATGTAGCATCGTGCGACTCTTCTCTTCTCAAAAATGACATGACACAATGTCACCTTAAGGGTACTCAACATAATGGCATAAAAGAGGTCAAAGCAGCTATGACAATTCTGAATTCAAAAGATTACGAAGAGTGCTTTCAGGAGTAGGAAAAGAGTTAGCAACGGTGCATAGTGTAAATGTCGATAAAGATCATCATCATAAGATCGTCAGTCCTAAGACTATTTGGACACGCAGCTCCACTCTTTTCTGTCCTGAGCTAATCTTCGCATTTGCCCAAAACTAGAACAATCCCCGTCCTTAACTATTTGCGAAGAGTAATCTAATCCACGTCTACCTCTCCTCTTAGCTTCCGTTTCTGCCTCTAGACTAGACTTTAATGCCGGAGAAGGTGTCCTACCAACCTATCTCGCCTATTTCTTATTGACTCATAGAGTCCTCTGTTAAAGTATCGAACAAAAATTAATTCACCTCTGTTTTATTTCAAATTCCCGGAACTTAATTACTACACCTCGTACAATCAATATACACTCATATTAAACACAATGTACGTTTGATTCAATCGTCTGTTCTATTTGTTAGTTGTAGAACTGCAGGTGGTTACTGTAAATCACTTAAAGTGCCTACTCCAGGATCGACCAAAAGTCAATTTACTTGTGTTTTGTTTACAAAGTCTCGGAACTTTATTGTCACACATTGTACACATTACACATTTTTCGAATTAAGTAATAATTATACTTTAATCTTTATTTTTGATGGAACTAATATTGCAACCCTTTCGAACATAATTTTCTTATCAATATTTAAAAATCTCATGTTAGTATGTTCGTACATACTAATCTTTGAAACCACTCAATCGATTTTAATGATAGTTTTTGACTCTATAGGTGTCGCGCTATTGTCGAAGCCTAAAATTGTTTTAAAATTTTTCGACGAAAATACTTTTTTGTATAATTTTTGGATTTCTCGTCCAAAATTAAATACACAGAACCCAAAGTTTTACTTCACTGAGGCCCCATCCTTCAAAATCTTTGTTAAGACATTATACCTGCGGGCTTCCCCGAATCCTTCTAATTGCCGCCTTCGTTGCATTCGCAGTGCATCTGCCTTGTATTCTTGAAATTTGGTTTTTCCCTAAATTATAACACCATTGTGTACCATCCAGCTACGAACCTTTTGGTGTACGTGACTAGTGTCGTTGGGAGTAGTGACCCGGGAAAAATTCCATAAACAGAAATAACACAAGTGGGAGAAATAGGTTGAGATAAAAAAAGGACAGAACAGTTCAGAAAAGACAGTATTAGCACATCCATCAAAGCAATCGCTTCAAAATTCAATTCATTTTTGTAATCTTAAGTTTAAGTGTGTATGTATAGGGTTAATAAACGTATTTAATGATACGCATCTTATTAATCGGACATACGCTGGTCCTTCGAGTTGTTTAATTGTTCTTACCGAACAATATATGTGGTACAGCAGTACACCGGCGAAAGATAGGTATATAAGTTTTTTTACTTTTCCTTCGCCAAGCGAGCCAAGCTCCGTAACAATCTTTTAATGTGATTTCAAGGATTTTTTGTAAGAGAATAAGGGTTATAGGTCATTCATTCTGTTTAATTCACTAAAAGTATAAAGGACTACTCCAAGGATATAATCGAAATCCTCGCGGACGATGTTGCAGGCAACATCTACTTGTAGGTACATATAAAAATACATTTGACTACATTTGAAACGGTTTTATACAAATTTTCTTTTGCTTATCACATATACTTAGCTGTAATATCATCTATTATGAGCTCCTAGGTACTTGAATTTTCTTGAATACTAAAAAAACTTGACTCTTGCCTCTTCTACTAAAATTAACGTTCCTTGAGTGTCGAAATTACATTAGTTCATTCCGAATTGCTTGCTATTTTTCCAGTAGTCAATTGAATATTATTCAAGAATTCAAGTGCATTTGTACCGTCGCATTTATAAATGTTGAATTGAATGTCAACAGAACGAAAATCCAACATATATCTTTTCTAGTACAGTTCTCGCCTTTTCTGCTAAATTTTGTTAAAAGTTTCAACTGCATACATAAATAGCAATATTTCAAGAGCTGAAAGCTCTACTCTCAAGCACAACTGCTTGCTACTGGCAAATTATTTCTGTCTATCCGTTTAGAAAGCACCGTAATTTTTAGTAATAATAATAATAAAATGTTGCAAAAGTTTTCCTTAATTTTCCGAATGTAGGATATTATGTTTATACGTATGTATTTATAACGAGGAATAAATCTTTTCATTTAAACTCGAGGGAAAATTGTTTCTCTTGAACTAGTTTAGTTTCAAACTAATTTCTGCTTTTGCGTAGTTTTGAATTTATAGAATTGGCTTTAAAGGCGACAAAACATTTGTGTTTGTTCATTTTCCTTAATAGAAATTTCTATTTCAGGTAACGATAAAAAAATAACTGTTTTATCATCATCATCATCATAAGGTCATCAGTCCTAAGACTGGTTGGACACGTACCTCCACTCTTTCCTTTCCTGAGCTAAACTTCGCATTTCCCTAAAACTAGAACAGCTCACATCCTTAACTATTTGCGAACAGTAATCTAATCTAGGTCTACCTCTACCCCTCCTAACTCCTGTTTCTGCCTCTAATATGTCTCTGACTAGACCTTCATGCCTGAGAAGGTGTCCTACCAACCTATCTCGCCTATTTTTTATTGACTTGCATAGAGTCCTCTGTTCTCCTATTTTTTCCAATACCTCTTCATTTCGAACCTTTTCTACCCACGATATCCTCATCATCCGCCTATAACACCACATTTCGAACGCTTCTAACCTTTTCTTTTCCGCCGCTCCCACTGTCCATGTTTCGCACCCGTACAACGCCGTGCTCCAAACATACACCTCTAACAACCTTTTTTGAATTTCTAAATTTACGGTTCGCTAGCATAGAAGTGACTTCTTTTTATTAAAGGCGACACGACCCTGCGCTATCCTCTGCTTTATATCCCTACTACTCCTTCCATCCTCACTTATCTGACTGTTTTATATCTTTACTTTATTTATTTTATTTGTAAAATTTACGCTTGTGTATGATGTCCTTTTTGCTGCTAAAAAGATGATCTGCCAAAATCACTCTTGAGTTTCTTCAAATACTTTTCTGATATACAATCTGATACCTACTTCTAATCACAGGGAGTGTCTTATTCGTTTATGTACAATAGTATCTTAATAAAAACGGACAGACAGACACATGGGTGATCTTATAAGGGTTTCGTTTTCCAATAGGACGTATGGAACCCTAAAAAGCGCAAAATTTAATTTGCAAAGAATCATTTCAATGTAAAGTAAATGTCTGTAGGACCCTTGTCTATCGAATAATTTATAAATTTGATTTGGAGGGATTTCGTCTTGTGGTTGTGAACTGTCAACAGTCCTCTGTCAGATGCAAGAAATGAAATGGTCCAAAATTTGATAACAATTTCTCCTGAAATTATTCAGCTTCTGTAACATTTCTCTATTTACCTTCCAATCCGCTTTCCGGAAACTTTTATATTTGGAGCATATTTAATGAGTTTGGGATTGGATGTTAAAATTTCGTTATCGGTTTCTTTATTAATCGACAGCATGGCAACAGCTGTTGGGGTAGCCTGCCTTCTAACAAAGCCCGTCTTATTATTACTCTTGCTCCCCTTTCTGCCTCGCAAAGCTTTGCGGATGAAGCACAAAGAGGCTTTCGAGAAAGACGCCAGCTTAACTACATATTATATGACCGCACGGCCGCCTCACCCGTGCATGTGTGCGTACACAGGTATATAATATACACAAACGTATATATATGTATATGTACATGTGTGTATGTGTAAGAAATAGGCACCCGCTTCGCGTTTGTGTATCCTTCTGTGTTCTGTTCCTGGCTTCTATTCTTTGTGCTTTAGATTCGTCCAGTCGAAGCCGAACTGTTTGTGCTTGATATTACATAAAACTGAAAGACACACTGTTTGTGTTTGTTTATGTGTGCGGATTTGTTTCATAAAATGTTGAGGGAGATGTCCTGGCTTAGAAGGGTTTGATTTATTTTTTTGGTTGAATAGGTGCTTTCCCTGCTGTGAAAGAATATAATTTTCCTCGCCTTTGAACATTGCTAAGGTTTCGTTTTCCGGTTGCTCCGATTCTCTGAAAAGCTTGTGTTGTTCATTGGGTATGTGCTCTTTGACGAATTTCCTACTATAATTTTATTTATTTACACTTCATACGCACTTGCTAACTTTAACGAACGTCTAATTTATCCACGACGTCTCGAACTACTTATACATACTGTGAAGATTGAGTGGGTTGGAACCAATTCTTTTAAAATTCAAGGATTTGTTTTTCGAAAAACGCCCGGACACGTAGATCTTTACTTTTAACTGCTTTAACTTAATTTTTCATGATAAATTGATGTATACAGGGTGGTCCAAAAATAAGCAACTACCACCGACTTGTGTTTCAAACGAAAGCACCTACTTTTTATTAAATTTTTGAATTCTGCATCGAATTTTAAGTGTTTCGTTCACCATATGCTATACTAGTTACGTGGTCTAAGTGAACTATTCTGCCCAGACGTTTCGTCAGCTACTGCGGCTGACATCCTCAGGGGTAGTGCTATCTCAGGATGTCAGCCTTAGTAGCTGACGAAACGTTTGGACAGAATAGTTCACTTAGACCACGGCTCTATAGCCCGAATCTTCATTCTACTATGGATTCCGGCCGTGAAAGCCTTTGTTCTTATATTTTGGTTAAGGTATGTGGTTGGATTTATTGTATTTCAGCTCTAATTCTGTTCGTCAGTTCTTCAATGTTTTCCTGTTTATTGAAGAGAACCCCATAGATAAAAGTCCAGTGTGACCAGGATTGGAGACTCAGTCTCTCCTTCCTATCCCTCTATTTAGGAAAATATTGTTAAGGTAATCTCGTACTATTCCTGTTGGAATCATACCGAATCTATTGATATATTTGGGTACTCAGCATTTGGGTTAAACGCAGTTAATCTGGGTATTATGTAACTACATGAAACATGGTAAAAATTCGATGCAGAATTCAAAAATGAAATAAAAAATAGGTGCTTCCCTTTGAAAGTCGGCCATAGTCGCTTATTTTTGAGACATCTTGTAAAAACCCGCAGCCAAAGACAAAGATCAACGTGTCTGAATGTTCTTCCAAAAAGAAAAACAAACTCCTAAATTTTAAACGAATTTCTTCCAATCCACGCGCCCTCGCTGTATATACAGCTTCTCCATGCATATATCAGCTGATTCCGGTTATTTATAGCATAAGGTACTACTTGAATTGATGTCCGTTGTTTTTGCATACAATAATGTTGATTTTCAAATTACGGAGTAAGCAGTTTCAATCAAAATACCAACCATTATTAGCACAACGTTTCCCATTTTTTCGTTAATAAATGATTTCCACAATAAAAGAATTATGATTCTTTTGAAAAGAACCATGAAGGCTCCTATCTGAAAGACTATGCTGTATCAAACGAATAGAAGTGACGTCTGAAGAATACAGTGGACAAAAACGTATAACTGGACATTATCCTGCTGTAAAATAACTGTTGCAGCATGCTTCGTTCCTTTGACTTGCAGCTCTCCATATAGTAACTGGTCAGTTGTTCTTGATAACGGACAGCTGCGACGTTATTCATATTACTTCTTATAGTAATCGATTGACTTGACTATCTGTCAGTCACCTCTTTATATTTTTATGGAATTTTTCTGGAACAGCTTTGAGATACGTTTGGAATCTTCTCGTAAATCATTTGTACGTATTGTGTTCTTGTATGTGTCATGCCCGGTTGCAAGTAATCGATTTGATCCGCGCCTGCGGGCACCCATGGGTTTGTATTGCAGCATCTACCGTTGAGCAGATTTTAAGCTCCCTCGTAAAAAAGCATGGAATCCTTTTATGATAAGTTCATTCATCTATTATTTCAAAAGAGCACTTGGTCTTAAGATGACTTCAGAGGTAGTTACCAAGGATCAGATAGAGGTCACCATTGTGTGCTCACCAAGTAACTTTTGAATGTATGGAACATTTCTATAAAATCCACGTTATCTACTTATTTGAAGAGATAATCGATTGGATATTGTAGTAAATATCGAGCGCTCTTTTGATACATAGCTCTTGCCCATGACAATTTTTAATGAGAAAGTCCTAAAGAATTTCGACAAGGATTTTGGGGGGGTCCTTTACAATTATTATTATTATTAGTGTTTTTCTTTTTGCATTCGTTCAAAACTTTGAACAAAAAAACACTCGAATTTTATAAATTGCAAATTTATTTCAGTTGGTGGGTGGCGGATGTGGGGGTGCAGGTGGCGATAGTTCAGAGTCCCATGCCGGCGACACGGACCCCGGAGGAGCAGGTGATGACAACGAAAGTCCCCCGACAGTTCGTCGAAGGGCGCCAGCATCTGACTGTGGCAGTGGCGAACATCTCAAAGTGGTCCAGTCCAGACCTCACTCGGAGCTTCTCAACCAGGTGCTCATCGACAAATTCAAGGTAAGCGTGATGATTTATGTGCAATCTACCACTACAGTGCTCGTGGTTGTTTTTCTTCCACTTCCGGCCCAGATTCAATCTGTATTCATCCCTCTTTTGAAAGTTTTTGTTGGAGACATCTGCCTCGGTTTCTATTTTTAGACTGGACCAGAAACAGATTTGATGATAAACATGTTAAGTTTGACACACTTGAAATATTAAACAATACATACCGCCTTGTATACCCCCATTAAATATACTTAATGATTACCTATAAAATAGGTGAGATTAATAAGACGAAATCAAAATGCCATATACTTACTTATATTGTATTATTTTTATCACTTACTACTTTTTTATTTTTTGTCAATAGTTTACCTACAGTTATAGAAGCATTTGTTTTAAATATTAACATGAAAATTCATTTTCAATTTTTATCTACCATAAATTACCTCAAGTTAATAAGGAAAAAATTGTTGCTGTTGACAGAGCCTTGCCGGGCTTGGCCAGAGCATTGGTGTCTAAAGTCAAAGGTCTCGGGTTCGATTCCCGGCGAGGGTGTGACAACAGCAACAATTTTTCCTCATTAACATGAGTTAATTTATAGTGGATAAAAATTGACAATGAATTTTCACATTATATTTAGTATTAACCACTATTGAATGTCAAAGTCTTTCTTATAGCATTAATTTGTTTTGTTAATGTATTTATTTAAAGTTTAGACGTTTTATGCCGTTGCTAAAATTATTGTAATGTTCGTGGGTTTAACAAAATTACTTCTAAGACTGATAACGACAAAAACTATTTATTTACACTAATGTTGATATATCACTATTCACTGCGCTATTTATTTCACTGCTATCACTGTCAATTTATTTCTCGATTCACTTCTGCAACAGTCAATTTATTTCTCCTCGTCTCTGGCGATCGTCTCTTCCTTTAGATACTCTTTTGTTTACTTTCTGGAACCTTCGGGAAACATCCTGATAGTTTATTTTTTTTCTTTGAACTGTTTAACTGCTTTCTCAGAACGCAGATACGACACACACATTTACAAATACGGCGCACATGAAGAAAGACGCTCGCGGCCAATCGATAAGCCGTTCACGCACACGTGTGCCCGATCGCACACAAACACACTCGTGCTCGCTAAACTATTTTAAAAGTCTTAACAATTTAAAATTATTATATACCTATAATTTTTAATAAATCGATTTTGGAATGGTCTTTTTAAGGTAAGTACGTATGTTCCACATATGTATTTTTATTTTTTATATACGAGGACATCAAGCAAAAAAAATTTTGCGGGAAAGCGTTATTGCTTCAAGCATTAAGAACCTGTGCTTTTTAGGGCCCATTAATTTCTCATATAAAGGGCGGAGCTACAGGAGAGCTACGTGATTTTTTCTTTAAGGTGGCATTACCTATTTTACGATTTTTTTACGACTCTATCCATACGTGACTTTATGTTCGATAAGGAAATATATGTTTATACCTTGTATTTGAGAAAAGAAACATTTCATGGCTAATATTCAGCAGAAAATCAAAGTTATTACATATTACGAAATAATAACCGATTATTGGTTAAGGTATTGTTCTATTTTTCAAAATACTGTGCAGAAATATTTTATTATTCCTTGCAACTGATAATAAATAGAGAATAAACAAAACCTATGATTCCACAAAACGTTTAGAAACCTAAAACGTATTTAGCCGTCCAACTGAGAGTGACTCCTGGGATTTTGTCGAATTTTGGGATTTAAGTTTTCATTTAGTGACTTTATACAGCATTCAATTATATTTTGTATATTAGCATGGCCTTCTGGTCAAGTGAGTATAACAGGTTTCAGAGTATTATGGATATTAGATTTCTAAAGAACTGCTGCCGACCAAAGGTCTTCTCAAATTTTATTCAAATTAAATGCAACTTCTTGTTGTATTCAACTAAGAGAACCATCTTATTATCAAAACAGTCTCTAACTGAGGATGACATCTAAACGTGTTTTTGGTTTCTAAACGTTTCGTAGAATTTTGAGTTTTAGGTGTTTATTTGGTTACGTTCGACACCACTTAATTATATTTTGTATATCTGAATAGAGACAATGTATCACTATTTGGTGGGTGCCAAGTACTTGCTGCTACTAAAGCATTTCAAACATTTCAAGCCTTTTCAATTGATTAAAACATTTAAGTCTTGGTTTGAAATTCATCGACACTGCTAGACGAAGTTCAGAATTTCAATCTTGTCAGATCTCATCAGTGTCCCATAAACAGTTCCGATCAATTACAGATTTTTTTTGTATAGATTATTCTCGAGGAGGGGAAATCTTCAAAAGACATCCCCTGAATGCCCCTCTGCAGGGGGTGTCTTTTGAAGACTTCCCGTCATGTCAGATTTTTACCGACTAAAACCCCTCCTCGAGTGAAGAGATAAACCGTGAGGGTTATTCATCCCCGGGAGGCAAATGGAAGGTTGGGATTGGGGAGAGGGTTGAGAAGGGAAAATGGTTAAGCGTGGGGGATATCAATTACAAACTAAACCGTAGAAGCCCCTAAGGAGCGAGTTTTTGTAATATCTAAATAGAGGCTGTATATCGCCATCTGGTGGGTATTTGTTACAACTAAAGTATTTCAGTGCATTACTACAGTATTTCGACTTGTCTAACTGAATCAACGACACAATTTATCTACGTGATAGACACGTAAACCAATTGATATGAATGTCTTGTATTTTGTCAGAAATTATGACCTTATTAGATCTCATCAGCGCGCCATATGCAGTCTCAATAATTAACTGATCAAAACGAAAAACCTAAAGAGCGAGCTTAGAAGTGGCTACTAAATTTATCGAAGAGAAATCGTGAAAATGTGTGGAAATACAGTGGGTGTTTTCCAAGTACTTTTTACAATTATAACATTGTCTTATATCAAACTCTTTATAGATGCTCAGCGATTATAAGTATAGTATGATTAGCGCTATGAAATTAATGATTTTTCTTTTTTAACCCAACTCATAATGTTTTCTACGTATTAAGATTACTTTTTTGGGAATAGGTAGTTACCAAAGTATTTACCCATCTTTCAAACCTTTTGAAAACAAACCTTTCAAGGTAATTTTCATTAGCATGTAGTGTAAAGATTTTAGTACCTACAACTATCTAAAATGATTTTTATTTTCGGTATATGACGAAATATATTTGCACTGAAAGTTATTGAGTAGGTATTTAAGTACCTCCAAATGTATAGTACCTACCTATATGTGGTGTTAACAAAAATTCATTAATATACAAATAATACTCAAACGAAGTTTCTCAAATGTTATGGTTTGATTTTGTTTGTACCTAACTGATTATTGTTTTGCCTTGAGATTAATAACAAAGTACAAAATTCAGAGATTTATTCTTAATTACCTGTGGCAATGCCTACCACCATCTGAGTCAGTAACCTTTCCTTTTTATTTTGCAATTATTGGTAAAGGAAAATCAGCTATTTGCACACGATTGTTAAAAAAAAATCGTATCTATAAAATTTTCTGCATTATAGTAACTAATATTATAAATGTGAAAGTGAGCTCGTATGTTTGCCTCCATTTCACGCCTTCAATTCTACTATTCAACCGATCATCACAAAATTTTGTACACATTATCGGGGATATAGAAAAAAAAAAACAACGTGTTATTATATAACACGCTACTGAAGTGAAACTTCTTCGAACACACAAACATATCGGGATAGGGGTTAAGGAATTGTTTTAATGGTACTATTTGTACACTATGAATTTAAATTTTACACTATACATGCTGGAGTTGTCTGTAACGAACGTTGCACTGAAGCGCGCTCACTTCTCAAGCGATCCCCACTACGAACTCGATTACGTGACCGCGTAGAGGGGGGACATCCGTTGCATGATTTCGTTACATAGCGACTCGCATGAAACGAACTTACCCTATCGCGCGTAAAGAAGTTTCACTTCAAAAAATACTGTTCGCGACGGGTAGAAAATAGAATAAAAATACATGCTACTTACCTCAAGCTAAAACGAAAATGTACCTGCCTAGACTGGTTATACTGAGCTCAAAAGGGGTTATTCTAAAACTAAACTAAGTGTGAGTAAAATATTTCGTAATCCTAAAATGTAGCATCGTGCTACAGATGGCGTTTACTGCGCCATTTGTAGTATTTTCGAAAACGCGCTGTTGAGACAGCAGGTAAAGGTTGGTCTGTGTTCTGTCGGAGCTGTCTACGACGCGCTGATGAGATCCAAATAGATCGAAATCGCGATCCCCGTCTAGCAGTTTCGACAGAATACAGACCACTTCGAATTATTTTATTCGATTAAGCCAACGTGCCTATCACGTTGAGGTTGGCTACGCCGGGATTCGTTTTCAGCAAGTAGATATCCACACAAGTGGACCTTGTTGGAGCATACGTAATCCTAAAATGTAG